AATATTTCCGCTTTCTGTTTCACCGAATTGAAAAAGTGTTTTTCTGCTATTTATATCGTCTAGGGTAATGACTTGCTCACTTATTAATGCTACTAGTATATTGCACATATCGTATATGCAAACGCCTTCATATATATCGTGCATAACATCAAACGAAAAATTTTCTGTCACTTTTATCGATTAATGAATAGGACGTTGTGCATTGTGATAAAGCGTTACAATTATCAAAATTTTCTTCAACTGGATGTTGATTTTCCAAATGTATGCGAAAATACGTAAAATTAGAAAAAGTTTGGTTACATTGATTTTGTACACATTTGAGTTTTAGAAGCTTTGTAGATTTAAAGTGATCGACTTTGAAGTGACGGATTAGAAGACGTGCACCTAAAAATTTGTGTGAGCATTCAAAGCAAATATACATTTTTAACTAAGTACTTTTATTTAGTTGTTGGTGATGAAATTAAGAAGACAAGTAATATTTGAGGATTTAACGTCAAAAGGAGTATTAATTTCATAAAAAAATTGTTGTATAAAAACCTATGGCAACTGACACGTATCAGGATATTTTAAATTAAAGACTTGGAAAATTTTGAAGCACACGTCTAAGCTTTCGAGATATGAAGCAAATTTATATAAAGTCTTCTCAAAATAAACATAGAACCTTTTGATATCTTCATCAGATAGCCCTTCTACCAAAATAAAGGGCTGTACAGTCAATCCAGCTGAGTAGTATTTGCTGAGCATTTCGTCAATTTTCCGTTGGTAATTATTAATAGACGTCAGTCTCAAAGCAAAACTTTCCTCTGCATCCACCAAAGTTGCCTTTTTGTTAAGTTTTCCTGAGTGATTTCTGAATCGAGCTGGGGAAGGCAGCACTGCGTTAAGGAGTATAGTTGATATATAATCCTGAGCATCTAAAGATAAAAAATTACGATAAATATTTAAATAGTACTCGAGTGTCGATTATCTGCTATATAAATCTATTCTAAAACTGGACTATCTACTACAGATATGACTTAGATACTTACTTTTATTGTCGGTTAATTTGGCGTTAGGAAACTGCTGCCTACAAAAATCATTGTGAATTTGTTTTTCGTAATACAGATGAAGTATGATCATAAAATCTTCCCATTTTGAGTACATTAGTTGTCCTTTTGTTGGGTACATCATATCAAAATCAATTTTGATCTAAAAATAGATTTAAATACGTACAAATTATATGTATGTAACTAAAAATGGAAGGTTTACAGTTATTGAACAATCGTTTACCAACTCCGGTGCTCTGGAATCAGATAATTTGGGCCAAGACTTTAAAAAATCAATGCTTTCCATTTCATTTAAATCCTGCTGACGTATTCCATAAGTTAATTTCCATTTGTCGCGTACTTCATTCCAATTAGAGCTATCCCTGCTCAAATACGTTTTAAACGCCAGAAGAGTTGATCTGTCAACTTCAGATACGAGGGCACTGTTAGATCGGAAATGTTCGGTAGAAGAAAGTTTATCGGAGTCATTGTTTTCAGTATCTGCGATGGTGAGTTTATGTTTTTTTGACCTTCTGTTTTTGTACTTAGCGTACAGCTTACCGCTTGGATTTTTTCGTCCATTTCTAGGTATAAAATAGTACTCCTGAGGGAAAAAGGAAAAATATTGTTGGTATATTTATTGTAGGAAATAAAGGCTGGACTAACCTCAACGGCTTTTTCATTCGGGAAAATACCAACAATTTCATTAATTAATACGGGAAAGTCGTGCGCTCGGAGAGTAACATTACTGCTGATTACTTCTTCTACTATGATGTTTATCAATTCATTCCTCTGTTCGTTGGTTAAATTTTGCTTTTGCTTGTAAAATTCGAGAATATTTTACCCCTTTGACGTTTCATTTAGAATAAAACTCAGATTTTTATTCAGCAATTTTCCACACATTGACACATTTGTTGATGAAGAGGTAAGGGAAGTGTACGTTGGGGCTTTCACAGTATTCAGCCACTCTTCCACTTTTGATGGCATTGACATGGTTTCTTCATCTATTCCAAACTATTGAAAACCATATTAAAAATTTGCCTTTATCTAAATTGTCATCAATACAAAAATTTTCACCTGCTTTTTCTTCCAAGCAAACAATTTCTCACGAAACTCCATGCGCAGCCCTAGCGGGGGAATAGCTTCCTTCATGTCTTCTTTTGCATGTACTTTAAGCTTCTATATGTCACATCTGCGGCTAAAATATACATATCTAAAATGTAAAAATGCATAGCACTTACATATCGCGAACAAAATACTTACCCTTTAAATATTCATAAACAGATTCTAAATTGAATTCTTTCAGTAGTTGCCTCAAACTTTCGTCGTCCTGATTCTTGTCAAAATGCTCAAGTGGTTCATTTTCCAGATGCAAAGGCACAACAGCATTCGCATTTCCCATTGGTACAACACAACTTTGCTTTTGGAAAGACTGCACAGCGTAGCTCGATCCACTTTCAATAGTTTCTTTCTCCAGAGCATTTAAACAATTTTCTTCGGCAGGCACAACTGGTTCGATAGCTACAGCCATCCAACTTCCTGGGAAACTTTCATTACTATTATGCAAAGGCGCAATAGCATTTGAATTTTCTAATGGCACAATATTAACTATTTCAAAACCTTCCATTGTACTCAGTTTAAACACTTTTCACTTTTAATATTTTATACCAAGTGCGCACTCTTAAAAGAATAGCAAAACCGAAAGAAACGAACACTGAAAGTGTTATTTTTATTTTGAAAATGCTTCGGATTAATTTAAGTGCGATAAACTTGTTTTAAGAACGAACACTCTCAAATAAAGAATTTTACTCTTGAAATATTCTAAAATCAAGAATGTCATTCTTGAATAAAGAATGCCCTTGAAAATCAGGAATTTGATTCTTAAATCAAGATGCTTTTATCTAGTTTTGAGATTTTTATCTTGTTTTAAGCTTACCGTTCTTATTTATATCTTGATTTAAGATTGGGAAAACTTAAATTTAAATTTGTTTTCTTAAATTATGCAGTTCTTAAATCAAGTACGACACAGCTTGATTTTAGCCCGCAACTTTTCTCTGAGTGTAGCAGCCTTAGATTTGCCAATAATTAGTGTTAAATTTGTTGAGTATATTAAAAGCAAAAATAAATATGTACATAAATATTTCAAACTTTCGAACATAAATTTAAATGCATTTTTCATTAAATGTTATTAAAATAAAAGCTTTCAGGTATAATAAATGCTATATTTTTATCTTTTTTAATATTTAATATTGAATATGCAAAAGAAAACTTTTAGGTAAAAATAAAATGAATACTTTAGTTAATTTTTGAGTGAACTAAATGAAAATAAAAGTTTTCATTAAAACAAATTAAATTCATTAACTTTTGCACATTTCAGTCTATTCTTTTTAAAATGTTATAAAAGTAATAATTAATGTTTAAAATTTGAGATTTGGATAAGAATAAAAAAAATTAGTAATTCAAGCAGTTATTAAATATTCTTAATTTTTGTCTATAGTTTGGCTTGTTGATTGACAAAAAACACGTTTTAATTAATAATCATTGGATATTAATCATTATTTAACAGGTCTGGTATAATTGAATTCGTACTCGCTTTAATGGCTTCCAATATATCCAAATAAAAGTTATAATATTTTGTGTACTTTATTGTCGAAGTCAAATAAAACGGGAGATGAATAAATCGTTTTGTACTTGGTACAAGTCGGGTCATTTTCGAACTAATTCGGTTTCAGTCAGGAAATTCTAGTTGTAAACTTGTTTTTTTCCTGACTAGTTTGGGGCCGGGTATATATGTAGTACGTGCATTCAAACATACATATGTATGTATGTAGGTACTCGTATGCATGCGCGTTGAAGATGTTTGTGCTAGAGATGGGCACGGGCCGGGCCCCTGCGTAAGCCCGCGGGTACGGTCCGGAATATTTGCTGTCAGCAAGAACTCGTGCGTGCATGGGCGTTCAGTAAAATTTCATAAAAGCACGAATAAGCACGAAAAAGCCCGTTGCTAATACCACAAATTTACTTAAGCTTTTGTTTTTATAAAAAAAAGTTCATATTTAAACCTCTTTTGATAAGAGAAAAGCAAAAAAAGAAATAATTGGAAACCGATAGAAAAAGTAAGATACTTAGTAGTTTTGTTTACATATCTGTACATAAAATACCTTCCACTTTTTTAGTTCCCAGAAAATATGTTATAAAAATCTTTGATGTAAATAATTGATTTGCTTAAGTAAATATACATTCATAAACACAAAATTAAAAATATGTACATAAGTATACATACAATAAAAGTTGGCTCTTTATTTCCGGGCTGGGACGTGTCCCGACGTGCCGGGCCGGGTCTCTCTAAAATTCTTAACGTGCGGGCTCGTGCGTGTTTTTGAAAGTTGATTTTGCACTCGTGCCGGGCCGGGCCTGAAAATTTAGGCCTGTGCCCATCTCTAGTTTGTGCTATCGCTTTGTATAGCCGTCATACGTCGTTTTCTTTCTTTTCTCCCCTTCTTTATACTATATCCTCTTTGTTACTCATGTAAAATTTTCAGTTTTAAAAATTTCACTCTCCGTTTTTGCGATACCGCCGCCTAAGAAGTTTCATTTCAATAAGTATTGTAGGAAATTCTACTATGCATTACCGGAAATGCTCAAAAGAAGCGAAAAAATTAAAACACATTATAAGGCAATGCATTCTAGAACACGTTACGACTAAAAGCGATTACCGATTTTTTGCTGGGTACCTATGCATATATATTTGAATTGTAACAAACTAAAATAATTAAATTCTATAGCAACATGTTTATTTAAAATATGATCTGCTTTCACATTCACCGTTGGGTTTAGCTTTCTTCTGAATATATGCCTCGAAAGCGACGTATTAGGGTAGACAATTTAATTTTTTTTTAATAGCATTATATTACATTTGAAACCCCACTCTCTTCTTTTGGCTGATTAAATGTCCGTTTTGTTGATATTTTACAGTGTGTTTCACGAATATCTTCTTTATATTGGCAAAGCAGTGAGGAAACTGCTACATATGAAAAACCTCAGAAGATACCTGTGCTCGAGTCACGAGAAACGGTAGTCACAAAATCAAGATTGCGCGACAAAGCATTCGGAGGTAAATTATAGACTTTACTTTTATAACTAAATATATTATATATTAACAAATTTATGATTATAATGTTTTAAAGCAATATTTTCTGTGATGTACTGTGGAACGATTTACCGTCACCGAAACACCAACAACGAAAATGAGAACAATATTACCTACTTATTATTATTTAGTTATTTCATTTCATATTTGTGGCTATTTGTAATTCATACTCTTCGGTCCATATTCTCATTAAGATACTTATTAGTTGCTCTTATGTTCCTAATTTAGAGTTGTTTTTGTTTATTTCAGATAATCAACTTAAAGATGGCGGCTCTTCATCAGCAGCCAAGTCATCTGCTATGCTACTTCTTCTTTCCCTGCCTACGCTAGAAGCTATATTGCCACTCTTATTCGAGTTTCTATGTCAATATTGCCAATTTAATATTAATGAACGCCAACGAGGCCATCGAACTTTGGCGTATCATGGTTACTGCAATTATTCGGATGGCAGATGATAATGAGCTATGGAAAATTAAATATGATTGCAATGACCAATTTCAACAGCATCAGCTCAGCCGTCGTCATGGATTCATATAAATTGTTAAAAGTGTATAACATCTATTTTTTGTTGTGAATTATGTATTTACTTTTTCTCAAATAGTCGTTAGCAAGGCATATTCAACAACGTAGAAGTGATTTCGACAGTTGTCTCTTTTGGACTGCGACTGAATTGTCAAACATAGATCAAAATATTTCAAATGTTATTAAAAAAACAACATTTTAAATTTTTCGTATTTTTGGCTACCATGACAAAAACATTTAAAGGTACAACCTCTCGTTCAATTTCTCCGCCATAAGGTTTTTTGACGTTTGCTAGCATTTTAAGTACACTCTCTCGAAATGATTTAAATGTCAAATAAATTCAAAATAGACAAATGAAAATTTATGATTTGAAATATTTATTCATACAAAGTGGGAAAAACAAAAAACTTAAAAAAATCAGTTGCTTCTGTAGCGGTTCCCTAAGTTACCGTATATGCGGCGAAAATGAAACGAGGTTTGTGTTGTTATGGATAGGCAGGGCCGGATTAACTACGTCACGGCCCTTCAACTATTTCTAAGTTCCTGAAATAAGTTTTTATACATACCATAATTAGGCTACTTTTTCACTACATCATTCATCACCCTAAAGTAGGGCTGCCAGATATCTCTGTTGCCAAACCGGGACACTTAAGGGTGGGAAAGGCCTCTCGCTCCCTTCCCTTTCGTTTCGACAAAAATTACTTACTAAAGGATGTAGTAAAATTTTATTTTGACAAACAAAAACAAAAACATAAAAACATGAGATCATTACAACGTACACCAGCAAAACAAAACAATTTATCACAACTAAAGCACAGAGAATTTTTCACAATGCATGTACCTTTTTTGTTCCTTATAAAAATACAGTTTATACTAAATACATCAGAAAACATAAAAATAAAATTACTAAACTTTGTGCAAAACTCGGGAAAATGCAATAAATTTGCATACAAATTCGCAACTTTCTATTCAGACTTTTTTATACAAATTTTTAAAATGAAGTTTCGCAGCCCAAAAAAATTTAGTTGATTTTTGGTATTGTTTTTACTGAGAGTTTCTTCCATACAAACTATGTTCGACATTTTTTTGTATGTAGAAGACACTGTCCGCAAAAAATAAATAGTTGCAAAAAATCAACGAAATTTTCTGGTAACTTCAGACCTGCACTTTACTAATTGGCTTAAAAGCTACATTTTCAAAATTTTTCTAAAAGATCTGATTAGAAATTGTGATCTGATGAAATAGTCTCCGAGCCAATAATTTTGTACGGTACTTATAAGTAATCTAGGTTTCAGGAAAGAAAAAAAATTAAATACAAGGTAACATTAAGATATCAGTCATTTGTTCCGTTGCTGTGAACTTGTTTCAAAACTTCTGGCCTTTGCTTAATATAATTGTAAAACTCTGTACATGTCATTTTAACGTATTTAGGTACATACTTATATTAATCATCAACTATTGCTTGCGCAAAACGTGCTAAATTTAAAAAAAAAATTCGCATATGAAAGAGCACCAACCCAACGTAATAAATTTAAGTATACAAATTTTAGTATTTAGTTTAGAAATATTCAAATCAAATACCTACGCCAATATTAAAATGAAGGGCTTTGCACTTAACGGATGCTTTTTCATAATTAAGTTAAAAAAAATATTTAAATTCCATGCTGCCTGTAATGGGATTTGAACCCTGACGCTCTGGAAATTAGTAAATTGTGGCAAGCATCTTCGTGCACTCAGCTACAGCCAGACATGTAAATGTGCATACAAATGTTCAGTTTGATTCAAAACCACGTGTTCGTGGTATGAAAGTTTTGTTTTTATATACGAACATTTTAAAACGATAATCAAATAAAAAATATTCATGTTTACTATGCGTTATTTCCCCCAGTAAATTCACAAAATTTTTCTCAATATTACAAGGCTTTTTTTCTCTCAGTGTAGTCATTTTTATTCAAAATTTGTGCAATCAAATCGAAAACCGGGACACTTAAACGAAACCCGGGACATTTTAAGGTTGGACCGGGACAGCAGGACAAATAGTCTAAAACCGGGATATGTCCCGGAAAACCGGGATGTCTGGCAGCCCTACCCTAAAGGCCATGCCAGATAAAACTTTGTAGATTTGCGTGGTAGAAATTTATTTGTTTTTGTCGAGTGCTGTGGGTTTTTAATGCCAATTCTCATCTCGGAAACTCAAACTCATGACAAAAGTAATTGTTTTAAAACTGTGACATATTTGTAACACTGGTTTATAGTAAATATGTTTTCGTATAGACCAGGGTCAGATTTATGTGACAGGCTAAATTTTATGGTTTTATCTAACTCAGTTTTATTTAAAAATACCAACCTTACATAACATAGTGTCTAAATGAAAATACAGTAGCATTACGGGTTACTTTGAGCGTGATATTTTCTGAAATATGGTCAATACATAGGCCAATTTCTTGGTATATATTTTCAAATTTGTACTTTCGCAAACTTCGTGGCAACAATTCGACTTTGGATACTAAATGCAACTCTGCGCTAATTTTCCAGTTGAAAAATAAAAATCAATATGGCATCACTCAAATTGTTCATCTTCTCTTCTTTCGTTCTGGATGTCATCGGATTTGGACGTGCTTGCCTGAATACAAAACACGAACTATTAACTCGTAATTATCAAATAAACCACTAAGCTCCTGTTTGGTTTTTTAAACGATTTCTTTGTGAGGTAAACTCGACATAAAACCTCCAAGCTGGTGAGCCCGACGTGATCGGCAAGCACATGCACACAAGCAGCCATTTGAGGTAAGAGTAAAATGGTGAAAAACGGAGCAGAACCAGGAGCATCTCAAACTCTTTCGCCTAATCCTGGAGAAACAATGGCACCCCCTACATCCACTGCCGTAGTGTACGGGAGACTGCCAAAGCCACCAATGGCAAGCACCAACATTTCTTCGAGATGAGGCGCGTCGCAGGCAATACACTTGGTGATGCTGCTCTCAAGAGCCTCTGTATTAAGCGTTTACCAGAGTCCGCGCAGCCAGTAGCCGCAGCTTCGTCTACGCGTTCTGGTAGGCATATAAACTTTCCTTTACGATATCGGCAGTTTCGTCTAGGCAGGGAGTAATGTGGCGGCATTTGTAGTTTCGCAAACTTTGTGGCAACATTTCGACTTACGATACTAAATGCAACCCTGCCCTAATTATCCATTGCAAAATAAAAATCAATCTGGCATCACTCACTTCTGGATGTGCACCAGAGGTCCTTTGATGAGGGTTTGTAGCAAAAACGGTATATTGAAGGTATCTATATATGTACATATAAATACGCCACAATCAAATTTTTAAAAGCCTTTTTTGAGGGCACCGTTTTTTGAAAGGATATAACTTCCTCTACTCCCTATTATACAGGGGGC